GGTGATTGGGGTACCACTACAACCAAATGATTAAAAGTTTGCCCCAAATCACTTAGCACACAAGAATTTGATACAAAAAAATAAAGATTAAAACAAAAAAGAGGATGGAAACATGTATAAAACCAAAACAAATTACAGAAAACTAAAAGAAATAGAAAATAAAAGATTAACCAAAATCAAATGAAAGCAAAAACTGAAAAGAAAACTGATGTTATGGAATAACCAGTCACCCCCATGAGTGACTACACTATAGGTAGTAACTATACCTATAAGTATCTGTAAGTCAACAAACTACAGAGACTAGCTGGGATCTGTTCCAGCTAAACAATCGAACTCTCTGCCTTTGAGTAAAAAGGAACCCGGACAAGGCTCTGCCAAAGGGCAGGGTTTTGTTTGGGGAGGTAGACCGACCCTGAACCCGTTTATGTGGGTTTAAAAAGGGAATATTTTTGGCCGAGCCTACAAGCTTGAACAACCCACGTTAAACTGGCCTTGTGCCACATGCAACCCTCGTGGGGTGTAGCTAAATATACTAGCTGCGATCTGTTCCTGCTAAACAGTCAAACTCTCTGCCGAAAGGCAGAGAGGAACCTGGACAAGGCTCTGCCAAAGGGCAGAGTATCATTCGGGAGGTTGACTGCCGACCTTTGAATAGTAGCACTCACTACTGGATTGACTTGCGATGGTTATGCACATAACTTACCTTTATTCTTATTGTATTGGTTTTTTACAATAAACCTTTACTTATTTTATCCAGCATGTTGTTCAAATATATATTCCTATTAGCATGGAATATAACAAAAATATAACTGAAAAAGAAAATTTAAAAACATATCCAAAACTCAACAAAAATAAATTAAAATGTAAAGCAAATTAAACAAAAATTCTACTTGCAAAAAAAAAAAAAAAAATTCTTTGTGACAAATACTACTCAACTCGATCAGAAAGAAATTCAACTACACAGCAGGAAATAGACTTGATATTGAGAAGCAAAGTAACACTCCAAGGAAAGAAAACTCACCCAAGAGAAGATAACACTCCCATATGTATAATGATACTACCTTATATACAGTACCTCATTTACATATCACTACCATACTGAATCAATTGCTAGGCCTCCTGTGAGGAAAGATGATACACTGTGTTGTGCTAGACTATTTTTCTTACCAGAATCTATCTTACACATTATAAGTCTACAATTCGTCCATACTTTGAATATTGCTGCCATATATGGTCTGGTGTTTCTGCTATGCATTTAGAGATTCTTGATAAAATCCAAAGTATCTACAATGTTGTTGGTCTTGACTTGACATCTTTCTTTCAGTTACTTCCCAACTGCCATAATGTAGCTTCCCTATGCATTTTTCATAAATGCTTTCATGGTAATTGTTATGACAAACTTTCTGCTATGGTACCTAGACTTTATGAATTTAGTACTGCACTTACAGTACTAGATTGGCAGCTAGGTCTCATCATTTTATGCTTGAAATGGCTAGATGTAACTGTAAGTTCAATGCTAACAGTTTCTTCTATCACACTTCTCACTTGTGGAACTCTCTTCCGGCTTCCTGCTTTAAAGTTAAGTTTGATCATCAAAAATTTAAATACAATATCAATTGTTATCTTCTATCTTCTTAATTTTTATACTTGTATTGTTCTCTCCCCTTAATAGTATTTTTTCTAATATTTTCTCACACTCATTAACTCTTAAAATCTTAGTGGTTTTATTGCCTTACTGGGAGTGAAATGATTGAAAAAAATTATAGCTATATTTATATATTTATCTACTCCTACATCTGATGGATGGGAGTTGCAATAAAAAGCAAGAGAAATGAAGATGAAAGAAATACTAGTGAAAAATGAAAAATAATTGACAATGCTTCATCTAAGAAGGCTAACCAGCAGGAGTCATTCAAATTTAGCCATATAGCTATATTCTCTACTTCTACTTCTTATGGATGGCAGTTGCAATAAAAAGCAAGAGAAATGAAGATGAAAGAAATACTAGTGAAAAATGAATAATAATTGACAATGCTTCATCTAAGAAGGCTAACCAGCAGGAGTCATTCAAATTTAGCCATATAGCTATATTCTCTACTTCTACTTCTTATGGATGGGAGTTGCAATAAAAAGCAAGAGAAATGAAGATGAAAGAAATACTAGTGAAAAATGAATAATAATTGACAATGCTTCATCTAAGAAGGCTAACCAGCAGGAGTCATTCAAATTTAGCCATATAGCTATATTCTCTACTTCTACTTCTTATGGATGGGAGTTGCAATAAAAAGCAAGAGAAATGAAGATGAAAGAAATACTAGTGAAAATGAATAATAATTGACAATGCTTCATCTAAGAAGGCTAACCAGCAGGAGTCATTCAAATTTAGCCATATAGCTATATTCTCTACTTCTACTTCTTATGGATGGCAGTTGTAATAAAAAGAAGAGAAATGAAGATGAAAGAAATACTAGTGAAAAATGAATAATAATTGACAATGTTTCATCTAAGAAGGCTAACCAGCAGGAGTCATTCAAATTTAGCCATATAGCTATATTCTCTACTTCTACTTCTTATGGATGGCAGTTGTAATAAAAAGAAGAGAAATGAAGATGAAAGAAATACTAGTGAAAAATGAATAATAATTGACAATGTTTCATCTAAGAAGGCTAACCAGCAGGAGTCATTCAAATTTAGCCATATAGCTATATTCTCTACTTCTACTTCTTATAGATGGGAGTTGTAATAAAAAGAAGAGAAATGAAGATGAAAGAAATACTAGTGAAAAATGAATAATAATTGACAATGCTTCATCTAAGAAGGCTAACCAGCAGGAGTCATTCAAATTTAGCCATATAGCTATATTCTCTACTTCTACTTCTTATGGATGGCAGTTGCAATAAAAAGCAAGAGAAATGAAGATGAAAGAAATACTAGTGAAAAATGAATAATAATTGACAATGCTTCATCTAAGAAGGCTAACCAGCAAGAGTCATTCAAATTTAGCCATATAGCTATATTCTCTACTTCTACTTCTTATGGATGGCAGTTGTAATAAAAAGAAGAGAAATGAAGATGAAATAAATACTTGTCAAAAATTAATAATAATTGATTATTCTCCTTTTAAGATGGCTAACCAAATGAGCCATTCAAATTAAGTCATCTTTTTTTAGGTCATAATATCTATCCTGTTTCATTTTACCAGGGATTCAACTCCACCTATTGTTGTTGTTCATATAGCCATATATAAATCAATTGTTCAATATTATTTGCACCCCATCCCAAGCCTTGGGCTGATGCAGTGTTCAGTAAATTAAAGTTTTATCCTATTGAATATCTCAGATCTTTTCTATACAAACCTCACTGGCTGACATGAGGAGATTAGTTCATTTGCTGGTGGGTTTTTCAATCAAAATCATTGAAACTGGTTCTCTTTTTCAGAACATTTGCTTACCATCCACATTTCAGATTTTACTCAGAATGTTTTGGGGAAGCCGTTTTTTAATAATTGTATTTTAGAAGCACTTTATGTTATTTACAGTTGAAGTAATTCTCATCGTTTTTTGGTCTCACAATATTTCAACCATTGCATTCTCCAGCCTTCTTCAGTTATCTCTAAATCAAATTAACCCTTAGAGAATTTCAAACTAAAACCTTTAATTCAGAGTTGGATTTACGTCTTAAAATTTAGTGGCTATATCATTACATGTTTCTCCTTGCCTCTCTATATAAAAAAAGATATATTGTTAGATAATGCTTTTTGGGTGTAAAAAGTGAAATGCTTCAATTAAAATTGTTATGATTTGGGAAGTCATATAATTTATTTCATTAGCAACATCATATTTTTAATGGTTTGGAAACTCATACAATTTATTTCATTAGCAACGTCATATTTTTAATGATTTGGGAACTCATACAATTTATTTCATTAGCAACATCATATTTTTAATGGGTTGGAAATTCATACAATTTATTTCATTAGCAACATCATATTTTTAATGATTTGGGAACTCATACAATTTATTTCATTAGAAACGTCATATTTTTATCTGAACTTTATATCCCACAGAAATATATCTAGAATGAAGGGCTTGTACTACACTGAAATTCTAGTTTTTAAATTCGCTAGCAAAGTATCAGAAAAAAATATAAAGATGATGGAGAAGGAAAATTCTGACTTGCTACAACCTTGCAATCCGATATCCCTACAGATGATAAAAAATTAATTATAATTATTGTCAAAATTGTCAAATTCAATTAACCAAGCTACTAATTATAAATCACGAAGATTAGATAGAAAATAAATAAATCTCCTTCATTGTTATATTTTTATTTTTTGTTTAGTTTTATCATCTGCCCAAGATTAGAGTGCTCCTGGGGGCCCTTCTAGTCTTGGGATACTTGGGTTGCAGCCTATACTAGCCCATATGTATATTTGGCACTGCTTTTATTCAACCTAACTGCTTCTATTAACTCATCAGTTTTTGAGCAACCCATTTGTACACTTCCTGTTCTAGTTTGAAGAGCATAGCAGTAGCCATATTTGATGGGTAGTATTAATATTGTAAAGTTTATAATGATTGGTTTCAAATTCTTTAGACAGCTTGCCATGCATTTTTTTCCTTTTTGTTACTGAAAAAATATTTATTCCCAACATCAAAAGCATTTTTGCAGCCTTGTGGGTGATAAATTATTTTCAGCGTGATAGCTCATTGCTCACAATTCTATTGTTATTTCTGTTGTAAACATTAATACGAGTTATATTCCTTAGAGCCATCAGTTCAGACCGTCAGAGCTAAGACCTACTAAGACACATATACAGAGTTAAATCATCCACATTCCTTTTGTATTTCATTGGTAAGAAGGAAACTTCATCGGGACAGCTTTTTTTGAGAACTGATTCTTTGTAGAGCAAACTTCTGAGAGGATGTTTCTTCAATCTTAATCTCTTCATGTCTACGGTCAACTGTTATCTATCCTACATATCCTCATAATCTGCAGGCTTGTGGCTATCTCACATTGAAACACAGGTTCTCGTAATGATCACTGTAGTTAAGCAGCATCAAACACAGTCAGTATCTAGATGGGTGACCACTTGGGAATACCAGATGCTGTAAGCTTGGGTGTGAAGGTGATGTAATGGATAATGGATAGGAATTAAAAATCAGAGAACAGAGTTCGAATTCCAGTCAGGTTTGTTATATTCAATTGCACGCAAGTACCTTTTGGTAAAAGTAATTCAGCTCATCTCTCTCTAGCTATTGGTTAATTAGTAGAACTTGTATCAGTAAATCATTATTATCTCCAAAGAATTCTTACAATTTAAAACTATTTTCTGGCTTTAAATAACCTGTAAAAGGTTGAAAAGTCATAAAAAAACAAATCAATCAACAGCATCTACACTTCTTACCTCCTCTCATGTTCATGGCACACACCTCGTTCAGTAAATCTCTACCTTGAGTGGCTCTTTGGCCTTGGGAAAACATCTATACAAAAACAGTTTCTAGTATACATTTGCATAAACATTGAATGTTCAAATGCTTGAAAAACCTGTACAAATGCTAGAAAAAACTGGTACAACATAAGATGCGTTTTTGCACATATTAGCTATGAAAAATTAGAGAAAATATTGATTGTGTTCTGCTTGCCTTTTATTTCATTGTCAGCTAATCATTCAGTACACAGCAAAAAGGAATGATCTGTTGAAAAGATTGGAATAAATGGGCTGACTGACGCTGATATCACCTGATACTGAACACGATTGAACAAGTACCAAATGAAGAGCTGTCTTGCATTATTTAACCAAGGGAAAAAAAATCTTTCCACTTGGTGTCATTTTAATATTCATTATTATTTCACAAAGAAATATATCTCTGTGGTTAGTCTATGGGACAAGAGGTCATCTGTCTAGATATCTTTCCGCTTAGCTGTTCAAAATCATAAAATGATTTAAAAATGAAATCAGTAAATAAAACTTCATTGTCGGTTGTTCTATTACGAATTTCACATGGTTAAATTCTCCTAATCTCATTTAATAAATCTGGAAAAAAAAAATATCCTGAAAAAAAAACTGGATGAAGAGTTATCATTATTTACACTATTTACATGTGGACTAGTGTCCTCATCTTTGTTGTTATCACAACATTTCAACCATTGTGCCCTCTGACTTTCATCTGAAAGAAATACTAGTGAAAAATGAATAATAATTGACAATGTTTCATCTAAGAAGGCTAACCAGCAGGAGTCATTCAAATTTAGCCATATAGCTATATTCTCTACTTCTACTTCTTATGGATGGCAGTTGCAATAAAAAGCAAGAGAAATGAAGATGAAAGAAATACTAGTGAAAAATGAATAATAATTGACAATGCTTCATCTAAGAAGGCTAACCAGCAGGAGTCATTCAAATTTAGCCATATAGCTATATTCTCTACTTCTACTTCTTATGGATGGGAGTTGCAATAAAAAGCAAGAGAAATGAAGATGAAATAAATACTTGTCAAAAATTAATAATAATTGATTATTCTCCTTTTAAGATGGCTAACCAAATGAGCCATTCAAATTAAGTCATCTTTTTTTAGGTCATAATATCTATCCTGTTTCATTTTACCAGGGATACAGCTCCGCCTATTGTTGTTGTTCATATAGCCATATATAAATCAATTGTTCAATATTATTTGCACCCCATCCCAAGCCTTGGGCTGATGCAGTGTTCAGTAAATTAAAGTTTTATCCTATTGAATATCTCAGATCTTTTCTATACAAACCTCACTGGCTGACATGGGGAGATTAGTTCATTTGCTGGTGGGTTTTTCAATCAAAATCATTGAAACTGGTTCTCTTTTTCAGAACATTTGCTTACCATCCACATTTCAGATTTTACTCAGAATGTTTTGGGGAAGCCGTTTTTTAATAATTGTATTTTAGAAGCACTTTATGTTATTTACAGTTGAAATACTTCTCATCTTTGTTTTTTGGTCTCACACTTATGTCTGTTGATTAAGGTAGCCTACAGGGAATTATGAACTGAACCCTTTATTTTATCTACAAGGTAGATTGTTCTTGCTTTACTGCCCACATCTAGGGATATTTCAACTAGTTCTTATTTTATTTAGCCCTGTTCAGTTATTACTTGCCCTGTTTCAATTGGGTCCAAGTACACACTACCTGACCTATGGATTAAACTCACAATTGCTATACCACAAAGCAATGCTTTAATCCACTAGGCTATAAAAATAGATTATTAGCAAAAACATCAATCTGGATTTTAACAATTTCCACATATTTTTGAAGTCAGTATTTCTAGTGTCTTGTTTATTAAATAAGTTATTCATACTATGAATAAATGACAGCCGTATTTAATTAATTTAGCAACTACATTTTTTCTTTGTTTAATATCAATACTCCTACATGGGGATATAGAAGTGGTGCAGTGGATAGCGGCTCCAGTGAGAAAATGAAGAGGTGAGTTTGAATTCAAGTTGAGTTCATTACATTCTCTTATCTCTATCTATAAAAAGCAGGATGTGTGTGTGTGTGTGTGTGTGTGTGTGTGTGTGTAACGAATGCATGGCCACAATTTTCGACGGATTTGCACCAAAATTTACATGCACATGCTCCAAGTTAGTGGGAAGGCCAAGACTGATTTTGAATTTCCCAACTCCCATCGATAGTCGAAATAATCAATTTTTTCATGCTTTTACGGCACTTTTCATGTAGTTTGCGGCCATTTTGCACTGGCCAGAGTGAGAGCCTATAGGTCAGACCTTGTAAAACCTTGCCTCAAATCATTATGGCAATCTTCTCTATCAGGCAGGACCCACTTTTCATTGTGTGAGATTATTCTCAGTTTTGTCTCATCAAAAAAACATGGGTATTACTATCTATTTATTGATTATCATACATTATGCTGTTTTACTGTAATTTGCGTGCTTTGCTAATTTTTCTATGATGAAATTTGTGTTCCCATAGAAAATCACAAGAATAAAATCCAGAAAGATAAGTTTCTGTCCCACTTTTCAAGCTGTATGAATTACAATCTATTCACAAGACTTAATCAATATATACGGTAAGGCCATTCCATTCTAGAAAGTCCTACCAGGATTCATTATTGCCAGCCAAAAACTTTACAATATAAGATATGCAGATGATACAGTGCTGATAGGAGAGAAGGAAAGGAAACTACAGAACCTTCTACAGAAGGTACTAAAGGAAAGCAAGAAGAAAGGACTAAACATTAATTAGAAGAAGAGAGAATGCATGGTTGTTAGTAAAAGGAACAGCCCAACATGCAAAATAAAAATTGGAGATGTTAAAGTTAAACAAGTACAACAATTTAAATATCTTAGAATTGTTTTTAACAGAGGACGAAAAGTGTAACACTGAAATCTAAAGGCACATTGAGATAGTGAAAGATGTGTTCCAAAAGCTAAGTAAAGCATTAAGAAATATGAAAATTTTGTTTGAAACAAAGAAAAATGTACTGAACTGTTAAATAATCCATCCCACTTATGGTAGTGAATGTTGGAGGATCTCCGCACAGATGAAGAAGAGACTTGAAGTAACAGAAATGTGGTTCTACAGAAGGATGCTGAGAATATCATGGACTTAACATGTGAACAATGAGGAAGTTTTAGAGAAAATGGAAAGAAAAAGGATACTTATACTTAACATCAGAATGATAGTTGAAATTTTTAGGGCATATAATGAGGAAAGATGGTTTTGAAAATTTGATACATACAGGACATATTGAAGACAAGAGGTATAAAAGGAAACAATGCATGACCTAACTAGCGAGCTTCAGTAAATAGATGGCAGAACAAGATTTAGGAGAGATAACAGAAAGACAAAACTTATTAAGAACTATGAAAAAAGGAAATTGTGGAGAGCCATGATTGCCCATATTCTGAAGGGATACAGCACATAGAAGAAATTTTGTAATGGTACCTGTCATTTTGCTGACAGCAGGGTGATCAAAATTGAAATTTAAATTGTTTCTCCATTTAAAATACTTTTATTAAAAATATATTCATTTTAAATGCAAAAGATGTCATAAAATGATTTCAAAGGGTGATACATTTCAGCTTATAATCTTTAACTGTTGTCTAGGGTTTGTTGCTAGACAGAAAGGATAATTAGCCCTTGCAATACAGGTGTGCATTTCAATTTCATCCAAACTGTGTGTGTATGTATATTTTGTTGTGGTAGGATCCACCTAATTTACATAATGAGTACTGACCATATAAATATGGTTGGTACCGGGAAGACGAGGGTGAAGAAGAAGAGATCCAATCCAGAGACTCTGCCTGACTGCGACTAAGTCAACCCATTCTCCAGGAACCGTCTTCCCAAGAATATACCAAAAGACTATATGTAAATATTGTGTACACTTTCTTGTTTCAATACATTTTGTTCTAAGTACATTTTGTGTTGTATTATTATTCCATGCATTAATCAAGTTTCAACATATTTGCACACATATTATTCTTTACATGTATATTTTTTGCACATGTATTATTCTGTACATGTATATTTTTTCACATGTATTATTATTTATATGTATATTTTTTGCACATATATTATTATGTACATGTATATTTTTCGTACATGTATTATTTGTAAAGGAGTAATGGAGCTTTTATTTATTAAGCTGACAGATTTTATTATTTACATTATTCAGACTATTGTCCTAATCTTTGTCGATATATTTATCACAACGTTTCAGCCATTGTATGCTCCGGCCTTCTTCAGGTGATTGGAATGTCGAACTGAACCCTTTATTTTGCTCACATGACACAGTGGATAAAGGCGTTGGTTAGATCCAGTGACAGGACCCAAAAAGTGTGAGTTCAATACCCAGTTAAGGCAGTGGAGAACTTTCAGAGGGGAATTAACAGGAGGTAACTGATAACTGACATCCATCAAAACATGGCACGTGGAACTAGAACAGTCTACCCCAGTGAGCGAAATAAAGGGTTCAGTTCAACATTCCAACCACCTGAAGAAGGCCGGAGCATACAACAGCCGAAACGTTGTGATAAATATGGCGAGAAAGATGAGGACAATAGTCTGAATAATGTAAATAAAGTACATAATACATCATCTCAGAAATATAGAAA